TACAATCTTCAATTAACAGTCTCAGGTGTGATAGTAGTAGAGTAATAATTTTCAAACAAGGCTTGATGGAACCAATACTAGCATTACAGGTAACATCTTTCATCTTCACTTCACTTGCCACTCAACCTTCCAAGGGGGAAGATGGATAACCAATTGTCCATAATTGCACAGAAACACTGGTACTTTGTTCCCAGATAGACAGATCATTATCTAAGCTACTTCTTCCTGCATTAAATCTTGTCTGTAATAAGCCATAGCACACCACTTACATATATTATTGTTCCCTCCACAAGGTATATGAGTGAGCTACTGTCTCTGGGTCAGCTCTGGCCATTACTGGATGATTTCCCATCAAAATTCAGTTCACCTGTTGCATAGGAAACGTTTGTAAAGAGATTTAGCAGTACATAGATCCTAAGTATGCCATGGTCAGATCCAACATCTGTAATGATGATCTTTCTTCTATGGTGCATGTGGCCTAGATATAGTAAGAGATATGCCTCTCCATTCACATCTAATTTGGTGCTACTCACTAAAAAGGAAATGAGTAGACAATGGCTGGAGTAGTGGCTTTACTCAGAGTGCCTGATACATGGCAGAAGCAACTATGGTCCTTACACATCCTGTAAACCAGGAACTTTACTGCCCTACAATGAACTCTTCCAACACACACACACACCAAGCACCATACAGACCTGAAAGGGTTGAGCTGACCCTCACATCTTCAGCACAAACTGCTTGTTGGTGACCATATCCAACTCAGGCCCCATTAGTTTTCAGGAAATTTAGCAACAGCTCATTGCCAGTCTCATGCACTTTTTGTACTGTCATTCAAGATGGAAGAACTTATCTATCTTTCTGCAAGGCCCCTGTAGCCCACAACCATAGGATATGATTATGTCCTCCCTTCCAAAGCTACATTTAGGTGGAGACATTGGATGCATTTGCTCAAACAGCAGAGAAGTGCTTGGATATCCTTGCCAATTTGCTGGAACCAGTTTATCTGTGGCATGACACTTAGAGGTGCTGGCCAAGGCTCCATTCTAGACAGAGTCTGAGTTTCATGGAAGGAACTGGCTTGAATAAGACAAATTCTACCATGTTGGCTGCTGCCACGAGTTTCCTCCTTTTCTGCTTCTTATCTCAGACTATCTCCAACATAATTGCCACAGATACTACCCCATGAAGGAACAAGTATCTCGTACTCCTAGGTGATGCCTCATGGTTTCACTTAGTTCTCCACTGAAGTTCTTGTTAATGAGGATGCCCTCACAATCTGCTGATGCCATTGCAGGGTAGGTTTTCCATGCAAATGGTGCAAGTCATCTCCAAAGGCACCCAAGTTCTCAGAGGGCCTTCCCTTGTATGTCTTGAACTCAGCCTAATGGATAGCTTTGTTTCATCAGGTCAAACTAATGGTGCAGCTTTGCTATGACTGTGTCCCAGTCTCCAAGCTGTGCCTCTATCAAATATTAAACAGTATCAAGGGTCAGATCATTCATCAGTGTTACATTGTATTTTCCTTGCTTGAAACAACAAGAAATGATCCAGCTTCTTTTTTTGGCTGCCCCTTAAACATCAAGAAGTGTTTTACTTTGGTTTTACATAATGCATGCATTTTCTTGGGGCATATTTCTTCCTGGGAAACTATTGGTTGCTTTGGCAACTCACCTCTAATCCCATAGAGGGCCTATGTAGCCCTACACTTCCTCTTCCGTGAATTCTCGATGCACTATCTATCAGTGATGTATGTCATTTACCAATGATGCCTCACCCTTGACGATCAGGGTGGATGTGTTCTTCTTTTCACGAAGAAGCTCTCTCCTACTTAATCAATTTCTGTCACCATTGGCAATAGCTTGTAATCTCATCCACTGATGATATAGTAGTTCTTGTTGGCGACTGTCATTCACCAATGGCCTCTCACTCCAGATTTTTAGCTCACTGGCTAGGCACTTCGCTTTACAGATATGTTACATGCCTCACACCCAACTGTCCTCTTCATCTTCCTCTGTGACTGGATATCATTTCACCTGCTGGCAAAACAGCTCTCATTGGTGAAGTCCATCCACTAATAACAACTTGCTTCTGACTCACAGTGAGGATGTGTGCCTCTCTTCCCAAAGAAGCTCCCTTCTACTTCATAAATTGTCACTGCCTCACCTACTAGTGAAACAGTTTTTACTAGTGGGTATCATCCACTAGTGGCACCTCTTGTCTGGATCTCAGCTCTACATGGTGCCTTCTGACACAGAGAGGTTGTTCTCCACTATTCCATTAATTGCCATTTTTCTTGATGAGTGCCCACTATCCCACCTACCAGTGAAATATTTTGTACTGATGGAGCTCATCCACAATTATACTTCCAATGCTACTTCAGTGAGTGGCATTGACCATAAGTAGTCTAGTTGTCAAATATCTTGGATAACCCTACTCCCTGCTAACCCAATGATTCTCAGTTGCCTAGGTTCCACTTAGACTGAGGGAGGGGGAACTTCATTGGTTCCTCTTGGTACAACAGACACAATCTGCTCCCCTTTCTGAGCTTGTGGCTGCAGGGTGATGGCTTTCAGAAACCTTTACAGCATTGGCAAAAGTTCTAGATCGAGAAGAAGGCTTCCTCTAGATCTCACCATCCTACTTACAGGCCACTCTGCCTCGGCTCCTTCTTCAACCTTTTCCAGATCACGTGTCCTACATTCTGTGCTGTTATGTACTTGGAATACTCACTGGGATGTGGAAAAATAGCCAATCACCCTTCTATTTTGTGGCATTTTTCAGAACATAAGATTTCCCTCAGAGTAGTCAGTTAGAGCTCAATAACTGCAAGTTTAGAGAATATTGTGGTATGAAGTGTTTGTCGTGTTTTTCTCCAAATTCTGACGGAGTTTGTCATGAAGAAAAAGAAGTAACACAAATATTCGCAACCACAATCTTTATTTAACAAATACAGATGAACACTAATCAAACATAATACAAAATACAAGGGCAAGTGTTTATGGTGGGTGTGTCTAACTAGCAAGAGAAAAGAAACTTTTAATAGGGATTCTATTAAGTGCAAGTTATCCGAAAACCAAGCTTAAATGCATAAAGTTAAAATAAAAAGTTAAGTTTAAATATGTTTAATGTTTTCAAAGGTCGTCGCGTGCCCTCAGAAAGGTCTCCGTATACCCCCAGGGTTACGCGTTTCACAGGTTGGGAACCACTGATCTGGAAAACAAAGCCACATGGTTCTAGAATTAACTGTACCCTAAAAACAAAACCACATGGTTCTGGAACTAACTACACTGTACCTTAAACATTAAACCACATGGTTCTAGAACTAACTAAACTGTACCTTAAACATTAAACCACATGGTTCTAGAACTAACTAAACTGTACCTTAAACATAAAACCACATGGTTCTAAAATTGACTGTTAATTAGAAACAAAGCCACATGATGATAAGATTAACTGTTAACTTGAAGACTTTTATGACGTTTACTAGAAGACGAAACAAAATGGTATAAATTTGAAAACTTAACTAAAAGATACTGATTACCGTTCAGCATTATCTACCTACTAAAGACAATTTAATCTAGGTTTACTGTTCTAACTTACAGAGTTCACGTGAGTCCTACTATAAAGCATTCAATACTATAGTTAAACGGACGGACGGACACGGCTGAATGCTCTCGAGTCTACTCGAATAACACGGTTTACTCTTTAAAATACACCTACGATCTCAGAAACTTACACAATTTCAGGATAGGACAAGCAAAAGAGAGTTGATGCAATATGTTTAAATAAAACTATCTACACCTGTTTTACTCTCTCAGATAAAGCCAGAGTTAGAGTGCTCGTAGCAACGACACCCACAAGAATATATAGGAATCAAAAATAGATGTCGCCGGCACAAAACACGGAAACGGAGGACTTGCCAACAAGCAGAGGCGAAAGGAGCCCGAACGGAACGAACCTTTCTGTGCATGCAGCTGGCACATTTCCTTTGTGTATTTATACATGAATACTCGCCTAACTTGACATAGTTGAAACGTATCAGAAACGGCATGTGTAATCGAATACGATAAATCAACTAAGGATACTTGAATAAATAAATAAATTCCCAAAGTTGTTTTATATTGTTCAATAAAAAAATTAACGAATTCGTTTATTAAGGAAAATCTAATAATTAGGCCCAGTTCTAATAAAGAAATACTATTAACCCCTGTACTTGGAAATTCACTTTTAGATGTTTATATGTGAGTGAAACATTTCCTAAATGGAAAACCATAAGATGTTACTTGGTTTGTATAATACAATCACAGATTCGATGTGTGTCACACACACACACCAAAACATCATGAGGCAGCTTCAGATCTCAACACTCAAGAGTTTGTTATCAGGTATTCATAGAAAGCTAACTGTGGTATCAGTCCCTAAGTTTGAACTGACGAACAACAGGGGAGACAACGAGTTAACAGCACCCACTGCCAAGTCTAGGGTTATTCTTGTTTGACCAAACGATAAGATTTGATCGTCAACCTTGTAACGTTCCAATGGGCTAAATTTGCGGAGCGCGATTATTATTATTTTTGCAGTAACGGGACGTAAAAGTGGTCCTTCAGATCCATAGTGCGGAGCGCTAACCACTGTGCTACTCTCGGCCCACAACTAAAAGTATAAGTTCTTACGAATTAACCACTTCGTTCGGTAAAACACGCTACCCAAGACGATCAACTTATCATTCAGATGCCAGATATGAACATACTAATTCAAGCAATAAAACAATTGCAAAATACAAAAAAGTTTAGATTAAAAAGAATTCTAATCCTGAAACTTTATACTTTATAAAACTAGTGTTCAAACCCTGTATCTTAATATACAACTCGCCCGCATTCACACACAAGAAATACTGAAAATAGAACAGTTAGCAAAGATCATAGGTATCTTACAAATTACTTTTCCATCAAAATCTTCATCATACATAAACAAATTAATTATACTTACAGTCTGCATACCTTTTAAACGTTTACATCTGAACACAGGATTAAATCATATTCAATAGTCGGAGTAAAATAACAGCACAGCGAAAACTATCGACTCAAACTTTAGGCTGGTTTACGCAACCCTTAACTTAAGGAAGTCTAGACTGAGTCATACAGTGAAAGGCGTGCCAAGACCTTCGAACTTACAAGCAGTTAGTTCAAACCGGAATACAATAAGACCTGGGTTCTAGAGTGGAATGAACAATAGGAACATGGCAAAAAAAAAAAAATTCAATGTCTTAACCGAAACAAAACAGTAAACTTCCCGTCTAATATATTAAGTTTACATATTGCATCATTCAGAGTACTTTTTGTCTTGTCTTTTAAAACGAACAAAAAATTAGCTGAAATTACTCATTTTTCTATGCAAGATATATATATACAGTAAGTTCCTGTTTAGTATCACCCAACTTTAAGTTGATTCATTATAGAGCTCGTTTCCTTTTTCTTCACGTGAGACAAAAATAAATATGAAAATCCATAACTCTCTGAACACTACTTTTTCATACTAACTGTAGTAGTACACTAAATAATTTTTATTTAATAAAATAATGCAACAAATAACATAGAATAATAACATGTAAAAAACAGATTATGTCCTGAAACTATCACAAATTTTCTGGCGTTTCTGGTGGTGCAATACGAACCGTTAAAACGTCATCCACCTTCATAATATCGTTCCCATGTAAAATAAAATAAAAATAAATATTAGAGGCGATCTACAAATATCTGCCCCACAGTGGGACAGTGGTATGTCTGCGGACTTATGCTGCTAGAAACCGGGTGGGCAGAGCACAGATAGCCACACATCTCTGTTCAGAAAACAACGTAATATAATACGTCATTTGATAGACAAAAACCTTGCCTGTCTATTGTTTATAACTATTATAGTCGTAAACGTAAGAGAGAACCACATATATTGACAAATCTTGAAGGAGAGGATGTGACAGGTGGGCGTGGCAGGAGAAGTCTGATTTTCTAGTTGATGGCTCTGTAACCGAACAAGATTGAAGGCTAATAAAAATTTGCTTTATTCCAGCGATGACGATATTATAGTAAGTAATTTACGTTAAATTACTTACTTCTTGGAGGAGGGGTGATGAATAAAATAAAGAAAAGGGGATGTTTAGCGAAACAATGTCACAATTTTCACACTAGGGTAAATTCATGATATTTTTTAAATGTTGCAGCGGTCGCGCTCTTCATTATAAAGAGCCAAATGATGTCCAGTGCCTCTCACTACCCACTGCCTCACGTACCTGCTGCCTTGCCTATCTACTGCCTTCCACCCTGAAGGCCCGGCATGGCCAGGCGGTTAGGGCGCTCGACTCGCAATCTGAGGGTCGCGGATTCGAATCCCCATCGCACCAAACATGCTCGCCCTTTCAGTCGTAGGGGCGTTATAATGTGACGATCAATCCCACTATTCGTTGGTAAAAGAGTAGCCCAAGAGATGGCGGTGGGTGGTGATGACTAGCTGCTTTCCCTCTAGTTTTGCACTGCTAAATTAGGGACGGCTAGCGCAGATAGCCCTCGTGTAGCTTTGCGCGAAATCCGTAACAAACGAACAATCCACCCTGGAGTCGGCGCCAGTTCGCGAATCGACGCCAGTTTGATGTGTTTCTTTGTTTTTAAGACTGTTTGTGTTCATTTACTTTAATAAATAATACTGTACATTCTATGTTTAACAGTACCTAAATAAAGTACTTGTACATCATTCACAGGTAAGAAACAATGCCTTCAGTTACATACCTCCATATATGTAATGTTAAAATGACCCTGTTTAGAGCCGATTCGTTTAAAGCTCTGTTCTCAGGAACCCTATGTATAACATCAATAGTAATTACTGGAATTAATCCTGGTTTGTTTTTTAGTTTCTATATATTTTCAAACTCTTGTTATAAGTAAACCTGTATACTCAACAAAATCAAGCAACTTGATACATAAACAGTTAACAGAAATATTTCAAATGCTGATAGGATCCCACTTGGACCCCATCGGAAATTCTATGGATAATGAATCAGTCTGCTGTACATCTTACCTTTCCTGGGGTCCGAAACTGGTATGTTATGGTTACATTGTACCACAAAACTATGTAAACTTCCTGTTCACTGGAAATATATATACCCAGTCAGCTGAACATCCGGAGAACGGAATGACAGACACGCATGGTGTAAACAATGAAATTCATACGAACAAATACTGTCACGGATACAGCAAGTGTCTGAAGAGTTCATGTGAAAACACAGCAAGAACACTTCTAGTATTCATAATAAACTGTTCATCATGAATTACAAAAGGATGGTAACTTACTCTTAGTTTAATTCGTGTTCACAGAGTAACCGCGCATATAAACATGAAAATAACCACACATTTATAACTAAATAAACATGGTCTAAATAAACGAGAACGCTTAGGGCTAAACACAGCGTAACATCAGTCTAATGAAACCCTTAACTACTTTAATAGATTTTAATTTTGTTGTTCCCACGTGTATTTTCCCGGAATGCTATGTTCCAGGTAAAAACCTATACTTCTAACACGCACACTACGTTTAAAACAATAAATATCTTTACTTCAAACACACGCACACTACGTTTAAAATAATAAATATCTTTACTTCAAACACACACACACACCACGTTTAAAATAATAAATATCTTTACTTCAAACACACACACACACCACGTTTAAAATAATAAATATCTTTACTTCAAACACACACGCACACTACGTTTAAAAACAGACCTTTACCTCGAACATATGCACACCACGTTTAAAAACAAAGACTTCTACCTCGAACACACATCAGGGCGAAGAAGAATCCTTCGATTCCTGAGGACCCTTGGTGTTATACCTAAATAACTACCAAGTAAGAACGAATGATCGAACACAACTACACCACGTTTAAAAACAAAGACTTCTACCTCGAACACACATCAGGGCGAAGAAGAATCCTTCGATTCCTGAGCACCCTTTGTTATTTAGGTATAACACCTTCCACGTAAGAACGAATGATCGAACACACACACACACACACCACTTTTTAACACAAAGATGTCCACCTCGAACACACGTACACCATGTTTAAAAACAAAGTCCTCGAACACACACACACACACCACATTTAAAAACAGACCTCTACTTCGAATACACACCACAATTAAAAACAAAGACCTCTACTTCGAATACACCCCACAATTAAAAACAAAAACTTCTACCTCGAACATATATACACACCACGTTTAAAAACAAGGACCTCGAACACACAAACACACACCACTTTTTAAAACAAAGATCTCTACCTCGAACACACAAACACACACCACTTTTTAAAACAAAGATCTCTACCTCGAACACACACACACCACTTTTTAAAACAAAGATCTCTACCTCGAACACACGTACACCATGTTTAAAAACAAAGTCCTCGAACATACACACACACCACATTTAAAAACAAAGACCTCTACGTCAAACACATACACACTCCACATTTAAGGATCTAAAGCCTTTCATCAATCACCACACATACTACTGCACACTAGGTCAACTTGAGTGCGAGAAAAAAAAAAATGTTAACGATAATAAATAGAGTTCAGTTTATCAAGGATACAAAAATTCAGTTGAATCGCTTAGAGACATTGAATGATTACCGTGTCCACGATAGACGCAACTGAAAATTTTAAATTATCGAAGAAAAACAACAATAATCTGAAGTTTTCTCCGCCTCTCTCTAAAGATTTATAGTCAATTCACTTTATTTTCAAATTCTTCACCTCCTTTACGGATTCGATTATTTTCTCGCGACAGGCAACAACTTACAAGTACTAAATTAATGACGCAGAATTTTGTCAAAAGGGTCACGTGGTCTTGCTTATAGAAAATTAATAAGAATAATAAGTCGACATCATTTGTCACATTCAGACGTTTCTAACCCTACAATGCTAAAAAACAACAACAAAAAAACGTGTTTTAGTTATATTAAATTTTGTTTGTTAGGATACTAACCTAAACACAATGTACAGAATACATCCAATAGTCAAAAATGGCATTTATGTAAAAACATGACGTGTATTTCAGGACGATACTTGAGGTTTATTTCAGCACAATACACCATGCGGGTATGGTCTACTATTTACCAGTCCTATCAGAATAAGGCCTGGTGATCAGAGTGCTCGACTCACTTACCTGGGGGTCACGGGTTCAAACCCCATCACCGAACATGCTCACCCTTTCAGCTGAGGGGCATTATAATATAACGGTCACTTCCACTATTCACTGATAAAGAGTAGTCCAAGAGTTGGCGGTAGATGGTATTGACTAGCTGCCTTCTCTCTAGCCTTTCATCTCAAAATTAGGGACGGCAAGCGGAGATAGCCTTTCTTTAGTTTTACGCAACAAAAACAAATTAAAAATCAAGAAACTGCACAGTTCTGTAAAATACTGAGTTCCTTTAACTAGGTCAAAACCAAGGTGACATAAATACTGCCAAACGTAGACTCGTGAATATACAGTGTTTACAATTCTTCTTACGTAAACCGAACTTTGTTGTAAAACACTTCTTTTTTTGTCTACACAAGAATCGTTACTAACGATTTTTTTTCTTTTAACATAACGATTTTGTCGAGTTGAGTTACTATCAACGATTTATTGAGCCAGACTGTAACAAAAAACAGCATGAAATAATCTGAACCAGAAGGCAAGTTCAAATCTGTAAAGATTGGTAACTATCAAGAAATCTAACATGTATGCACATATTTTGTTTTGTGTGTGTGTGCAACAACGAATAACTCAAGAGAAGAAATGTAATTTCCCGACCTACAAGGGACGAACTATTTAAAGTGAAGGACTTTTATAACTACAACCCTAAAAAATAGTATTTAAGTTATAATGAACAGTTTATGGGTTTTGTTGTTGTTGTTGGATTTCGTGCAAAACTAGCATATATTCGAGAGGTATCTGCGTGAGACGCCTCTTCATTTTGAAATGATAGACTAAAGGGAATGAAGCTAGTCAGCACCACCCACCGCCAACTCTTCAGTTGTTTACCAAAGATGAGTGGGATTAACCGTCACTTTATAACGCCCACACGGCTGAAAGAGCGAGCATGTTTGGCGACGAGTTTCGACCAGACGAACATGACAGACTTAATGTTGGAGAAATTGCTAACTTAAGTCTGCGAG